AGGCTGGTGGGACTCATCCCAGCCCAGGCAGTGTCATGACCTGTCTCAGCAGAGAGCCTGAGCCTGGGGGGAGCAGAAGGGACCAGCCTGGGCTTCGTGCCCAGGGCGCAGTCACAGTTCAGTGGCACGGGTCCCAACCTGTTTCTTGCACAGCAAGTGGCATGGGAAGGGGGGCAAGAAGCACTCCTGCTTCCCCAAAAAAGGAGGGATCCTCATGGGAACAAAACCTGGGACAAGCTGGGCCCCAGGGCACATTATGGCCAGGACTATGGCCGGGAGAGCTGGACCGTGCCTGGCTGGCACCGGGGACAGGATTGGGGTGAGCAGGAGGGAGTAACTCATGGCTGAGCAGGGCACTTTGCTTTCAACAAAACAAAGTATTTGATAATGTCATCAGTGTCCACCTCTGGGTAACAAAGGGGCATCTGGAGGGGAGCCACCACCAGCCAGGCCAGCTTGTGGCCCATTGACACCCAGGCTAGCAGCATCACCCTCCCTTGCTGGCTGGGCCAATACACTCCGTGGTGTGCTGGCGCCACCAGACCGGAGCAGCTCGTTTCAGGCTGTGCATTCACCTTTTCCTTTAATCTGTCTTTCAGCATCTCTCCTTTTTAGAGAGAAGGAAAACAGTGTTGTTTGCTCTCCAAGGCCATGTTTTGAGGGTGCTTTTTCCTACAGGGTGCTGTTTCCCTGGCTTGTAAGCATTGGACTTTCACCCTTCTGCTTGTTCTAAGGCATTTTCCAGACTTTGGTTTCTTTCATATAATGTCAAAGCCTCACTGCTGGTTAAAGATGCTCAGAAAGGATTTTTTCCCTTTTTTTTTTTTCTAAAAATCATCTTAACTGAGAAGTAGGTTTTTGCCTGTGTAAAACACACCAAGATTTGCTACTGCCTATGCCCACTCCAAGGCAAAGCTCTTTAACCCGTTCCTCTTCACAACGGCTTGAAACCGTGTCACAGGCATTTATTGCTTCCCTGTTTTTTTGTTGTTAAACCAAAAGCAAACACACAAAGCACAGTGATAGTTTGTTTGTTGCTTATGAAATGTAGACAGGAAGATTATACAGCTACTGAAGCCTCCTGTTTCTTTTGGCTTGTCGGTTGATTTTTTTTGTTTTTATTCTATTTTTTTCCCCTTCTCTGATTTTTGTTCTGCAGCTGAGCACACGAATACCAAGCCATGGAGACATGCCATCAGTGTACAGCGAGGCAAAGCTGGTGGCTCAGACGTACCAGTCTGTCAAGCAGCAGCTGTTTAAAGCGTTTCAGAAAGCCGGTCTGGGCACCTGGGTGAAGAAACCCCCAGAGCAAGATCAGTTCCTACTAACTATATAAATCACTTGACACCTTTGCTACATGACCGGATCAAATCAGCTGGAGAGAAGGTTAGGCAGGATGCGTGAGCCGAGAGAATTGAAGCAGTTTGAGATTTAATAGCAACCTCCATGGGAATATTTGCTTTTAATTCTGTATTGGAAATACGTAAATAGAAATGTGTCTGATGCACTGAACTCGACCTTAGAAAACTGCTTTTTCATGATCCCTTCCCAAGAATGTACCTGCCTAAATTATAACGCCACCTGCACAAAGATTCTGCTTTTCATTGTTTATTGCTGTTGGTTATTACTGATTTGAGGCATTAGCAGGCCACCTGTCTGATCCAAAATAGAGTTTGTTTTCCCTCACACAATCAGTGCAAGAGTCATCACTGAATAATGGAAAATAGTGAGCAAAGATGGAAGTACCCCAGGCAGACGGCATGACAGCAGGTCTCAGAGCACCCATAATAATCCATGTCTAACCTCTATGCAAAAAACATCCTGTTAGCTGCCTAAATCTGTGAGAAAGAATTTGGACCTCAAAGATATGCAGCATTTTTAAACTCTGTTTTCCACTGCTGGCTCTGAGCACAAAGCCAAGCATCAGGATTCCCTTGGGTTTTACACTTCCCTCTGACGCCTTGGACAAACCACTTCCCACCAAATCTTCAAATCTGGCCACCAGTTCTGCACGCTGCAAATTTTAATTATCCAGGCCCAGTTCATCACACACGCCCTTTAGACACCAGCCGGGACGCAGAAGCTCTTCAAGAGGGAAATTACCCGAGGCGCT